AAACAGCTTATACATAGGAGAAGAATGTCACCCCCTGTGACATGAAGTACCTAATACAGTGCAAATTAAATAGGATTTTGCATATTCAATATCAAAGTGAGAAAAGAGGGAGACGCTGTCTCCTGGGAATGGATCAACCTGCTGCGACGGGCTCTGTCCTGCCAGGCAGGAAAATCCCTCCTTATGGGACACACGCATTTTGCATATCTGATTTTCTGCTTGAATTCATTTTCTTGGCATTACTCAGCAAGTACGTGGCCTTCCATTATGCTGCAAAACGTGGTGGAATCTGAGGTCCTTGGGAATGTCGCTCAGTCCATCAGGCTCTTCCCGGCAGCTGCTGTGGGGTCCCCAGGACCCCCCCAGAGAGAGGAGCAGCGCTGGGGGAGCCCGGCTGCGGGCAGGCGGCTCCGAGCCGGCCCTCTCCCCTCTAAAACCCATGCCGGTGCTGAGTGCTGCCGGCAGCGGCGGTGTGGCACGGCTGGTTACCTGACAGGGCCACCAAGCAGAGCGAGCGTTGTCCTCCCGGCACATCTGGCCTCTTCCGAAGGGCGTTAGGGAGCAAACCTGCAGCACGAGGCGGGCGCTCGCAGCCCCCGGGGAGGCGACCGGAGCGGCCAGGCACACCGGGGAGGGGCTGCGTGGAGACCCCCCGGCTCTGTAGGGTGTCATGGACACAGGGGAAGCTTCCAGTTGGGCAGGGACATCGTGGGCTTCATCAGTCCATGGAGGCAGAGTGAACCTGGGGCCCTCAGAAAATACAGTTGGAAATACCCAAATACAGCTGGAAATACCCGGGGCCTGGGAGCCAGAGAAACTGCCAGGGGAGCGGCGTCTGCCGGCTCGGGAACAGGCCCGATTCCTTTTTAATTCTCATGAGAAGAGATGGGTGATGAACGCCGGCCGCGCGTGAGTGTAAGCAATGCCGACACACCGGCTCTGAGGTTAATCCTCTGCCTGCGTTCCGAGTCAGATCCTCCTCCTGGGTTTTTAGCAATTAGCACCCCGAGAGCAGCCTCCGCGGGCAGGGGCAGCTTGGGCCCGTGCGCGGCAGCAGCGGCGGATTCCTGCACAGGGGCTCTCTTGCGTGATGCGTGTTTATGAAGCCTGAAATTGCTTTGGCTACGTGGCTGTGCTGCATCACATTAAGCGGTGCCACGCTGAAGTGACAGGGCTGATGCATGATCAGCAGCAGTTTAAGGGGACAGGAACTCAGATCCATCCTGCCGCGCCGTGGTTCTGTCAAAATCAGAAACTCACTGACAGGCCTAAGAAATTCTTTTCAGCTCCTGCCCAGGAGGTTTGTTTCAGTAAGTTTGCAAGCCCTGTTCAGTGCCCCTGCGCGGAGCCCGGTGTCAGATGGGAGCCCGTGGAGGAGCACGAGGGCAGGGCAGCCTTCCTCACCCGTCCGCTCACAGGAGCTTCTGGCTCTGCCCGGGGAACCCCCTCGGCGGCGGCATCAGGTCCCGGGGCCCCACTCAGCGCCTGGCGGAGCCAGGGGCCACCTCCAGCTCCAGCTGCATTTACCTGTGGAGCGTTTTATAGTAGCAGCTTCTTGGGAGAAAGTGCAAGTTGAGATTTCTTGTGAAAAAAATTGTCATTGCTTTGCCTTTTTTTTTTTTTAATATATATTTATTGCCTTCTGGATTTTGCTGCTTCTGCTGCATTCAGCGTTACTGCACCAGAGACTGTAACAGCCCCACGCTGGCGGGCAGTCTCTGGAAGTTTTAGCTCCATTCCCAGTGCACAACCCCGTGCTCCTGAGAACCTTCTTTTACTTCCCACCAGTGTTATCTCATTTCTCTTTATCGGTATAAACACCAGCCCTGGAGGGACCTGGACCATGACAGGGAAATATTCTCCACCAGACTGGTCAGATAAGCAGAAGCATCAATTCTCAAAGCCTCCCCAGGGCAGGCACGTCTGTGAGGAAGGGCAATCCCGCCCTGGGTCCTGCCCGGCGGCACCCTGGGGGAACTGGCACTGAGTTACATGCACCAGTCCTGACCGGCCCCTTTGCTAATATTGTCCCCAAAACAGAGCCCATCAGAAGAGGACAAATAGCAGTGTCACAGCCAGCCATGTTGTTCAACAAGAAAGACATTTTGTAACCTCAGAGAAAAAAATACATAAAATACAGATCCCTGGGCATGAGAGGTCTGTGAGACGGAGGCAGGAGCTCTCACTTCCCCGGAGGAGCTCAGGCTGGCTCCATCCTCAGTAAGAGCTATTTCAAAACAAGTATTTCTTCCAGGATGTCACATGGAAAGAGACTGTCAGAAAGCTGTCTAAATGTGTTAACAACACTGTCAGCGGGGGAGAGAAAAGTGTTATCAGAAATAGTTGTTCTTCAAAGCTAAGTAACTCGGTGATTTTATAAGGAGTAAAAGATAAGAGATCACACCACACACTGAGGGCTGTTGGAATTTTCTTTCCGAGAATGAAGCTGTTTGTTTTGTTAAAAAGGGGAAGAGGGGAGAAAGTGAAAACCTAAAATACTTTGACTTTCTTGACTTAGCTTTCGACAAAGCTAAAAATAACTTGGATTGCACCCAGCCTGCACAGCCACAGCTCAGGATGAGCTAGAGCACTGGAGAAGGATTCCCTTTTCCATCCCATCCCATCCCA